GGATCTTCTCTACTTCTGCTTCGTGTTCTGGGGCTGTCGTTGGGAGCTGCACGCGGATATCCAGAAACAAACGGCGAAGGCTGACAGCGACGGACACCAGCGGTGCCTCCGTGCCTCACGTCCTGGCAATCCGGCGCTTTCGGCAGAGATCTCCAATATTTGGTGGGAGAGCCGCCTTCCCTTTCAGCAGCGGGACCTGCTGCTTAGCCAGAGGGGGGTTTCTGGGTCCAGGTGTTGAAGTTTTGGCTAAACGTGGATCCTTCTCCCTCTGTCCTGGCTGCGGGGCTGCTCCGTGGCTCCTGCTGCGCTTCCCAGGCTGGTGGCGGTGCAGGGCACAGCCAGGGGCACCCAAAACGCGCCTGAGCACGGCCTCGCTCACCTCTGTAAGCAGCAGGGAGACGAGGCTCTCTAGATCTCTGGTTTTAGAAAGGAACTTTTGAGTGAAAGGAAATCAATCCGACAGATGCAGACTTTTGGAGAGTTTCAAAATGGTTGCTTGGGACTGGTCCCTTGCTGCTGCACGCGGCCAAACCTAACGCACTTTCTCCTTCTATGAATCACTCCTCAACTTGCTCGTTATTAAAGTTCCCTGATTCTAATTTAATCTTGGAGACTCGACAGCTTTAAATACCTACCAGCGCAGTGTGATTCTGCTCTGGCCCTTCAGTGGCTTCTTGTGCTCCCTGCCACAGCTCCACCAAACCGGCGGCCGTGCGGCAGCGCTCGGGGTGGCCCCGGCTCGGTGGCAGCGCCGTGTGCCATGGGGACCCCTGTGCCCCCAGCCCTGCTTGTGGCTTTGGCAGAAGATGGGGCCCTGAACTCATTTCTGTGGCCCAACTGTTCCCAAATGTTCGTCTGTGTTCGGGCAGCGCGCTTCCATCGGGGTTGGGTAAATCGGAGCGAGTGGTTGGGTAAATTGGAGCAAGTGGCAATCAGGAAGCTGTTGTAAGACCCTGAGGGGGTCTTAGGGCCAGCCCCGAGGGGGGTTTTGGGGTCCTTCTGGGCACCACATGCCCAGGCCCTTGGAGGCTGGCAGCTGGTGGATGTGGTCGGATCCCCATGCGCTGTGGCGGGGATGGAAATGGGACCTGCGGGGTCCCACCGTGATGGAGACGTTATGGGGCAGCCCCTCTGTGTTGTCCTTGCTGCCACCAGGCTGCCGGAATTGCCATGGATGTGACAAGCCACAGGGCGAGGGGAGCTCGCCCCGGTGAGCTGGACAGCTCTGAGCAGGTCGGACTCGGTAAAGCCTTGGTTGCGTGGCGTTTCGGAGAGAATCGGTCATTTCAGAGGAGGCCGCCCCAAACCTGGGCTGGGAATTTGTGGTGCCATGCCGGTTGTGCCTAGCCCACAGAAAACAAAGTGACTCCGGGTTCTGAGGCTGTGCTCGCCCTCTTTTCCTGTTGAACATTGTTCTGCTCCCTGTAAGCTTGCTGGGAGCCTTGTTTCCACTTAACCAGTTCCTTCGCGTTGAGATTGGCAGGCTTTGAAGTTATCTTGAATGGCAATTTAGGTCTCTAAAAAAAAAAAAATAAATAAATCACTCCTTTCCCCATGTAATTGTGTTCCAGTTTCACCAAAACGTTTCTCAGGGTCCTCGGTGCGAGTCTGAAGCTGCATCGTGCTGGTGACGATCATCTGGTTGCTATTAGTTAATGAGAGGGAAGGAAAAACGGCCAAGGAACACGACGAGGAAGGGATTTGCTCCGGGGTCCCTCTGTTTTGGAAGGGAAGAGGCAGCCGGGGCGGCAGATTTACGACCTGGGGCGAGCGCAGGTGGGAAGCAAGCAGCGAGGGGGGGACGAGGCTGGGGGATTGCACCCCGTGCCCACTGCTGCAGGACATCCCGCAGGGCCTTTCCACGTCCCTGGCCACGACGCGGAGCAGCTCTGGCCTGGCAGCCTGCTGGAGCAGGGTTTTCCTTCCGAAAAGCCACGAGGGGAGGGCTGTGCCCAGATGCATCAGTTCCAGATGCCAGCAGCACCCGGGCACGGCTGCGTCCTGATCGCCCGGAGAGCCAGCGCGAGGAGCAGTCTGTTGGTGGCCCCGTCCCTAGTTTTGAGCCACTGACTCGATTCCTTCTTAATTCCCAGCCCCAACTTGTGGCTGTGGCAGGACTGAATTTAAAATTCACTCCGGTTGCTGTACCAGAAGCTTTTTCTCCTCCACCTCTGCTCCTGCCTCCTAAGCCAGGATCCTGGTGGCGTCCCCAGTGCTTCTGGGCTGCCACCAGCCCTCGCCCTGCCCCTCTGCGGGTGCAGTCCCCTGGAAGCTTTCATCCAGTCCCTGCCCAAGGCCGAGTCCCAGTAAATTAACTCCAGGTGACCGCATGCCACTTCTCCGCTCGGCCACCTCTCTCTTACCTCCCCGACGAGCTGCCTCGGAAAACGTCGAGGCTCGTCGCGCTGCGGCCCCCTGCCACCCCTCCTTTGTGGCCCTCCTGCAAGAATCACGGCGAAAGCGTAAATGAAGAGGAGCCGGCGACTTGTGGGCTAATCACCCGGCAGAGCCGGTGGGGAGCGGGCGAGATTTCTCAGCCGTGGATCACCTGCAGATAATGAATTGGGTTCGGAGCCGGAGCGGCACAAAAGCAGCTATTGTTAGCACTTTTGCAGATTTAGTCAAAGGCCTTTTCATGCTGGAAATAGAAGCACCCAGAGGATGGGTCCTTATGAAAGGACCCTAAAATTCAATTAAATGAATAGTGCAGTGATGTTGGACCCGTACCTTTCCCCATCCCGGCCGTAAAGATCTCTCAGAAGCCTCGCGGCCGCGCGATGAAGGACGGGGCGGGAGGAGGGATGCGAGGCGTCCCGGCCGCCCCTCGGCTGCGGGAAGCTGCTTGATCTCTGCCCCATCTCCTCGCGCCTTAAAACAGCGCTGAAAGGTCTGGAGGGAGGTGAGGAGCTTGGAAAAGGGCGAAGCGATGCTAAAAAATGGAAAAAAAGGGAAAAAAAATGAAAGAGCTGCGGGCAGAGAGAGCCACCGAAGGATCTTGGTGCTGCCCTGCGCTCGGCCCGCGTGCTTCGAGCGAGCACCACCCGAAAAATAAATCTTAGGGGGGCCCCGACAACCACCTCATTAGTTTATAAATCTCTGGTAACTACCATGTAATTAAAGCCTAATTAGTTATTTCCCCCTTTGTAAACGAAATTGTTCCATTTTATCTAATAAAGGCGAGCTCAGATAGCACCGGCGCTGAGCGTGGCGTGGAAGCTCTGCTTTAATTACCAGCTCTGGGTTGACGACGCAGCCGATAGTGGCTGGGTATCGCGGGTGACACGGTGATTTGTGCGCTCTGTCATGGGTTTATTTTTAGGGGATGATTTGATCGTGCTTCCCGCGTGGAAAAGCAGCGCAACCCGGGCGCGCTGGCTTGACAAAGATGTCACCCGTGCGGCGGTCACTTCTGCCTGCTCCACGATGCCACGAGGTGCGCTGCTAATGCTAATTACACGCAGGAAGTCTCTTCAAATTTACTCGGTGCTCTCGTTAACCTTTGATTAGCGCCGTTCTGCAATCTGCAGCCCAAAATGGAGGGGCCCGTTCAGGAGCTGTTTCAGCCCCTCGGGAACGCGCGCGGTCCTCGGCGGGTCCCTGCCCCGTGCCCTGTAACGAGGTGGGCGCTTAAAAATCTGCCCCAGAGCTGCTTTTAGACAATTTCTGGACCCGTCCAAGTAGATTTTTGCGCTCGGTGAGCCTCGGGGGCCTGGCTCTGCCTCACGTTCACGCCAGGCTCTTCATCTCTCTCGCTCTCCATTCTGGTTTGTGGGGCCACGGCTTCTGTTCCTGCTGTCGGTGTGCAGGAGTGTGCCGGGTCTGGATTCTCAGCTCGAAACCTCGTCGGGCGTTGTACTGCCTTCCTCCGTGCCCTCGAGCGAGCCGTGGTGGTGGCGATATCCCCACAGTTGCTCCCTGTCCCCATGCTCGTCCTTCGCTGCCTGCGCTCGTGCCTCCGAATTTGATGAAGCCGTGCCCCATCCTCTGCCCATCCCTGGTGCCGTCTGCCTCCTTCCCGGCGTTTTTTAGTCTCTGGTCGTTGTTGGCCTCGTTGTTGGCTCCTCCTTTTCCTAGAGCCATGGGGTGTGGAGCCGAGCCCCCATGGCATAGCCTTGGGGGGCTCCATAAACCCATGGGGGCGAGACCCTGTGCGGGGACGTGGGGATTGCGAGATGGCACGGGTGACGGATGGCATCTTTGGGGTGGTTTTGGCATCGCAGGTGGGGCACGGAGAGGATTGGGGATGGCGAGGACCGGGCACGTGCTGTGGGGGTCTCGCACCCATCGGGGGGCGCGGGGAGCACCCGAACTTGCCAGGTGGAACCACGACCTGGCGGCCTCGAGTCCCCTGGGCCTTGAACCCCTGGGCCTCGAGTCCTTTTGGCCTCCAACCCCCGTGGCCTCGAGCCCCCCGGGCCTCACCGCCCCGAGGGCTGGAGCGGCCGCGTCCCCGGGTGCCCCCGAGCTCCCCGGAGAGGGGCACCGGGCGCGAGGGCCCCGGGGGAGCGGTGGCGGGCGCGAAGCGGTTAAAATCGTGGCGGAGGAGAAGGAGGAGAAGGAGGAGAGGAGGAGAAGGAGGAGAGGAGGAGAGGAGCTCTCATGAATGAAGACAAAGTTGGGCCGGGAGCCAGGGGCTGCTGGCGGCCGGGGAGGGGGGCGGGAGGGGAGGAGGAGGAGGGGGGGGGGGGGCGCAGCCAACTGACTTTTATACCGCAAACGACTTTAAAAAAAAAAAAAAAAAAAATTAAGAGATAATTCCATGTCCTGAGGTTACAAACCGGCTGCAACTGGTTTTTTATTTTTTTTTTCTTTCTTTTTTTTTTTTTTTTTTCCTTTTTCCCTGCCCCGCGAGGCATGATGGGTAAAAGTAAGCATCCCCCTTTTCTTTTGTTTAATATAACAGTACGGCGCATGATTGGCAGGGAAGTGCCCGTTTTGAGACAGGGTTTCTGCAGGTCCCTGGAGGGGGATGGCACGCGGGGCCGCCCATGCTCTTCGGAGAGGGCTCCTCGGCAAAAAAAAGCTGCCTCTTCCTCTCCCTCCCCCTTCCCACCCTGCCTTCCCCGCTCGCTGGCTCGCTTTTCCCCCCTTCTTTCCTCCCTGTCTCTAATTTTCTTGACAACTAGAGGAGGCAGCAGGAATATTGTACCTGTAAGTATTCTTTAGACTGTCCTTTTTTTTTAATTTTTTTTTTTTTTTGAACAGACAAAAGGCTCTTTATGGATTATCAGATCTGTTTTTTTTTTTTTGTCCTTTTTTTAAAAAAAAAACAAAAAACCAAAAACGTGAGTTTGGCAGCTGGATGCGATGCCTTTACAGAATATTTTCAGGAGAAAACTGGCACTGTTGCTTGGATTCGCGGTTGGAGCCGGTCCCTTCCCTTTTTGCCCCCCACCCCCAAAAAAAAAAAACCCAAAAAATCCCACCTCTCCCCAGGCTCCTTCCTCCCCGCGCCGCTCTTCGGCTGCAGCGCCCCAACCCTGCCCTCCTCCCGCCGCGGGGCACGGCTCCTTGGGGGGCTTTAAAAGGGAGCCCTGGCGCTATTTGAGCTCCTCCAATAAATAAATAAATTCCAAAAAAAAAAAAAAAAGAAAAGAAAAAAGAAAAAAGGGGGATTCCTTTTGTCTGCGGCGCGTCCCCCCCTGCCTGACGGGCGCCGTGGCCCCTCGCCAGCCCCGGCCCCGCGGCCGCCCCGCGCACAAAGGCGGCCCCGGTGGTGGCAGTCGAGGAAGTCCCGGGCCGTGCCCGTTATATAAGGCCCCGGCAGCCTGCGTCATCCCCGCCGAGCTGCTCGGCCTGCCCGGGGGGAGGAGAGGCGCAGCGCAGCGCTCCCCGAGCCCCTCGTCCCCCCCCCTACCTCGCTCCGAGCCCCGAGGAGGACGGTGGTGGCCTGGGGTGGGGGGCGCCCAGCCCCGATTCCCCCTGAGCCTTTTCATTCCATCTCATTTTTGGCAACGCTTTAGGAGAAGGGGGGGGGGTGAAAAGCAGCTTTTTATTTTATTTTTCTTTTTCTCCTCCCTCCCCCCCCCCCCTTTCCATGTGCCACAACCTGGAAATGTTTTTGTGGGGCACTGCTTGGATGGCAGCGGCCTCGCTTCCCCGAGGGCTTCCCGGCACGGAGCTCACTCCTAAACCAACTTGGCTACACCCCAAAACTTGGGGAGGGCGGGGGGCAGCGCGGGGAGCCCCCCGTGCCTTCCCCTCTGCCCCCACGGCTTCCAAATCCCGCTGCCCTTCGCCCGGTGAGCGCAGGCATCGCCGCGCCGCCTCCCTGCTCGCTTTTGGGGCTCGGTTTTCTCCTCGCAGCCCCCCCGGGTCCGGCAGGGGAAGGGAATTGGGCAGGAGCGGAGCCCCCGGAGCCGCGCCGTGGTCTCGCTGCGAGCACCGGCGGCGGCTCCGGTCCCGAGATGCCGAGAGCGGGGTAGGGAGGGAAGCGGCGGAACTGTTTAACGAGTTTGCGCCGAGCTGCCTGGAAGAATTTATGGTCTGCTGCAACCGAGAGACAGCTCCCCGGTCCTGTGGAGAGCGAGCCCTACGGTTTGTCTGCCGGAATGTTTTCTTTGTCTTTTTTTTATTATTATTATTATTATTATAATTTCGCTCTCGTGCATCCGAGTAGCGGCGGAGGAGCCTGGCTTAACCCCCCGATTTATGAATGACTTTTACACACGGTGAATTTTTAAAGAATCTGTCAGCTCTTTTCTCTTTGTTCAGGGGGCATTTCGGATCGTGTGTTTCTTTAAAGACTCGTGCATGCTCTGTTCTTGATAAAATCTTCGTGATAGGCCTACATATTTTCTTTCTTACCTGCATGAAATTCCTCCACACAGCTGTAGCGTAGGATTTCTCCCCGCAGCTTGCACAATAACCCGAGCTGAGCGTAGTATTTCTTGACAACTTGCAATCTGCAGCATCAGGATTCAAAGAGCAGCACGTTTTTTTTATTTGATAGCGTTTTTTTGTGTGTGTGTTTTTTCTTTTTTTTTTTTTTAATCCGTCTTCTTGCAGATCTCTCCTCAGCCTGCCTCGCCGTTAAGTCATAATTACCTTTTTAGGTTATTACCCTTTTTATAGTATTGTATGGAAATGCTCGTCTTGGGAGCCAGCCATTTTGTGTGTGCTGTGTGGAAATGCATTTTACGACATCGATGTTGGTTTGTGCTCAGCCTAGATGGAAGTTAAGACGCCGCTCGCGTTGCGTAGGGCAGGCTCTCGTGAGCCCCCAGGCAGACGGGTTCCTCCCCACGCGGGGCCGGTTCTTCACCCCAGCGGGTCGGGGGCGAGCGGCCGAACCGCGCCAAATCCTTTCCATGTGGGCTCGTGCTGTTGGCGAGCCTGCGGCGGCGCTGGCGGAGTCCAGATGCGCCCAAGTGGATTGTGAGCGGCGAGAGCGCAGCGCGCGCAGGTGAGCCGGACCCTCACTTCCTCGGCGTGTCCAAATCCCCCTCCTGCTGCAGGGAGCCCTCGGGGACCGGCTGAGGATTCGGCAGCTTTCACTCCGTTGGCTCCACCAGGTACCAGGACGGTGGCGGCGCTTTTGGCACCGGCTCCTCCCCATCCGAGGAGCGTCGCGGTGCCGGGGTCGAACGCCGGCTTCCAAAAGCCCCGCGGGTGCCGGGTGCTGCTGTGGGTGCGCGCCCTGCGGTGCCAGCGCGGTGTTGTCCTCTCCGTGCGGGTCCCGGCGCTGCCCCAAACCCTCCCCGTTCCCACCGTGCTCGTCCCGGTAACCCAACACGTTCGCTTGGTTGAGCTGAAGTGGCTCCAAACGTTTCTGCATCGTGTTTGAAGTGTCTGCTCTCCCCTGGGTTTTATTTATTGGGACTTCTCAGCGCAGGCACGCGTCGCATCTGCAGGTCCTCGTCCTGGAGGGGTTGCGTCCGTTTGGCTCCGTGGTGCCCGCTGGGGGCAAAACCTCGTGTGAAATCAGGGCTGAGGCTGGAAACAGCACCGGGGCGTTGAGTTTTGGCCAAGCCTGGTGCTCGATGGCAGGAGGGAGCCAGCCTGCGGCACCGTGAGGCTTCCCTGGGGCAGCACGGGAGGGGAAAGTTCTGCGTTCAGATGCTCTGGCCTCATTCACTGCTGTGCCTGTCGGGGACCGAGGGGCTGGGGGGCTTCGTGCTGGTGCTGGTGGCTGGAAGCTGCTCTCAGCCGCTCGGGAAGCGCTCTGCCTTGCTGGGCCTGCTGGGCATCCCGCAGCCAGGGGTTTGGGTGCTGTTCCTGTTCTTTCTCCCCTTTTGGGCTGGGGATACGAGCTGGGTGGCACGGTGCCGTGCTCTGCGCGCCCCGCTGGGCTTGTGCTGCGCTCAGCAGGAGCAGGAAAGCAGCAGCCCCCCAGGGTGTCCTGCTCGGGGTGCTCGGGGTGCTCCCAGCCTCCTGCTGCGGGGCTCGGCGGCCTCGCTCCCGGCACAGGCAGGCGGCCTCCGCTGCTGCTGCTCGGCGTTCAGATCGCCCGCGCGAAGGGCTGCGCTGAGCTGTCCCTCACCTCGGCACTGCCAGCTTCCTTCTAATCAATTCCTCCTCCTGTTCTCCCAGGGCTGGAGCTCGGTGACCCGCTTGTCACAGAGAGGCTTTTCTCTCCTGTACGTGCTCCCATCGCTGCGTGCGCTCCATCCACGTGCGCACCCTCGCTGCCATGACATTTTTGGTGCCTGCTGTGCCTGAGCATCGCACGGGGACGGCCGGCGGGTCGGTCCCAGGGTGCTGCCAGCAGCCTGCGATTCCTGCTGGCTTTCTGTCCGAGCCCCACCTGTAGATAAATCCACGCAGAGCCCCTTCCTTGCCGCTGCTTTTGTGCTCCCTGCGAGCACCGAGCGACCCCGCGTGCTTCCAGGAGCCGCTGAGGGAGCGTTGCACCCCGAAGCAGGCTCGGACCAAAAGGTTTGGTGCTGCACCCTCGGTGCGAGCAGCACTGCCCGGAGCTGCCCCGTTAATCCTGCCCGTTCCTGCTGCTTCTAGAGGTGCTGAAGGAAGCAGATCTCACCGTGAGCTCCCCACACGGAGCATTGCGCTCTGCTCTGTGATGCTTCTTGCGCTCGCGGTGCCTGGGCCTCGCCGTTCTCCTTCGCAGAAGATGGGCGGCTTCAGTAGGAGCAGTGCGAGGGCCAGCTCCGGGTTCTGCTTTTAGTCTTTTTATTCTCTTTTTGTGCTCTTGGTTCGTGCCTCGGTGCAGGAAGCTCCGGCTCTGCCCGCGGTGCTCCCCGTGCTGCCGGGAGAGGTGGAAGCGGCCAGGTGGGAGCTTGTGTGGCTGTGCCCACGGGGAAGTTTTTCCGGGGAAGTTTTTCCCTGTAAGAAATGTCAGCAGAGGTTTGTTGCAGAGTCCATCTTGCCTCGGATGCCCGTGGCAGCAGCCAGCACAAACAGCCCGGCAGGAAGGCCCGGGGAGGGCTGCCAGGAGAGCCTGGGAGCACCCTGCCCCACGCCGCAGCGCTCGCTCGGAGGCGGCTCGGAGATTCCTCGTGGCAGAGCTGGAAAAGAGGGAAAGAGGAAACTTTCTGCTGTGCCCAGCCTGGGGATGGAGCAGCGCAGCGCGTCCCGGCCCGGCTGAGCCAGGCTGGGGGAGGTCGGGGAGCTCAGGACCAGGAGCTGGAGGCTCCACCAGTGGTGCCCGTGCTGCTGGGGGGCTCCCAGATGTCGTGGCCTCGGCTTCGGGCATCTCTTGGGCTCCTGCAGGGAAGGAGAAGTGCAGGTGGCACCTCCCGGCCGGGATCGTGTGCGGAGGCAGCGTCTGGAGGCTTTCTGCCTCCTGCAGCCTCCCTCTGTGCTCGGCGAGGAGCAGGCTGGTGGAGGAGCACCCAGGGGTGGGCTGACAAAGCCAAGGGACCCGGGAGGAAGACACGGAGGGGGCTGCGATCTCCCGCAGCTGCCCCCAGTAAAATCAGGTTGAATCCGACTTTTTCTGATGCTGCCAAATCTGTGTAGTTCTGCCTCATTTTCCCCAGGTGATCGGGATGATCGCTGTCTGGGCAGGCTGTGGTTAGAAGTGGCTCTATCTCGTTCCTCGACATACTCGCTTCTCCGGTATGCCATTAATTTTTTCAGCTGCACTCGCTCGTTCCAGCTTCTAAAATAGCGCCGCGTTGTATTTTTACACGGTGTGTGCACTTGTGGGTGCTCTATCAAATGTAAATGGAAAGCTGGGCCGCTGCTTTGTTTGTCTGGGAATGGAAAACCTGTCTTTCTAGCACCAGAGCAGCGAAACCGCCTCAAGCCAGAGGCACGCAGCGAGCAGCACACGATGCCGAAGCAGCTCACGCCTGGCGTGCCCCTGGCTGCGCTGAACTTCGGCTGAATGACCCCAGCATCTGCGGGCTGCCTGCTGGCCTCTGCGCCGCGCCGGGGTGCGCTCAGAGCATCCCTGCCCCTTCCCCTGGACAGCGGGAAGCTGCGCCGCGCCTCGGCACCAAACCGCTGCGGGGAGCGGGGCAGGAGCAGGAGCAGGGCATCGAGGAGCAGGGTAGGAGCAGGGTAGGAGCAGGGCATCATCCTGCCTTCGCTTCTGGCTTCCTCTTCCTCCTCCTCCTCGTCCTCGTGGCTGCTGAGCCTTGGGCCCAAACCGGCACCGGCTGCGAGAGGCAGCCAGTAGCTTGCTCACCTACGGAGGTGCAATTGGAGATAATTACAGCCTGCACCGAGTCAGAAACAAAACAAGTTTTATGGCTCTTTTGTTTCCCCTTAGGGGATTTTGCCACCATTTGAGAATTTTGTTTCTTTTTTTTTCTTTTCTTTTTTTTTTTTTTTTTTTTTGTTCTCTCGGTTAAATAAAGTTCCTTTAGGGAAGTGAAATGGGGGAGCCTGCTCGCCGGGCTGCGCGAGATCTCGGCGGCGTGGGCGGCAGGAGGCGAGGCCGAGCCACCTGCAGCCCGGCCCCGGTGGGGGCGATGCCCCCTGCTCTCCGCCTGCCCCTTCGGGTGCTGGTCCCGGTCCCGTGCTCCTGGTTATTGCCCACCTGGCTGCTGCTGGAAGGTGACTGGGATTGGGAACGGGGGGAAGCCGCTCCTGCCTCGTCTGTGCTCCCTGACACCGAGGCGACGCTCAGCAGCTGGTCCTTGAGCCCGTGCAACTCCCAGCTCGAGCTGCAGAGCTTTAATCTCTGTTCTCACTGGGGTTACGCTGACACAGAGCAGGCTGGCACCGAGGTTCCTGACTGTCTGACCTTCAGACTCGCTAAATAACCGGCGGTTTGAGGGATTCCTGCTTGTTTCTGCTGCTTTGGGACGGAGCGGCCCCTCTCGGCGCTCGCAGCTCCCGGGCAGGCTGCAGCTTCTCCCCTCCCCTGCCCCCTCCTTGCAGCCGAAGGGCCCCGTTCAGTAGTGAACCTGAAGCCTGATTTCATTTTTATTGAGTCTGCCTGAAAGTGCTCCTTACTGAGCCTTGAAAGCCTCCTCTTGAAGGGCTTACACCGCTGTGCTACCTGTGCCTGACAACGGCGCTTCTCCTTTGCTTCTCAGACCGAAGCTGCTTATCTCGAAGGGGAGGGCACCCCAAAACTTTTCACCATGTCCCGGTGGTTTTCCTTGCACGGGCCCATCTCCCTCCCCTTCTGAAGCCCAGGAGAAGCCCGTTGTGCACTCAGGGAGCCTGCGTCTCCTTGCTGTGCCCGGGGTTGTTCCATTTTTCTGCTTGCCGGTGACGTTATGGCCGTGTCCGTCTTGGTGTCGGGATGCACGGTGTGAAATACTGAAACACCCGCGTGCGGGAAGCGGTGTGAGGATTTTGAGCACCGAGACATAACTCAGGGGAAGTGCTTCGGGTCGCTTAGCAGCCCGGCTGGCACCTGGCTGGGCTTTCAAGCACCGTGTGGGGCTGCTCCGCTTCCAGCCCGACGCCGAGCTCGTTCCGCGAGGGCTCCCCAGGCGGGCCCAACCTGCAGGGTGGGTGCCAGGGGCTGGGGATGATTGTGGAATTCAGCCTCGAGGCTCCTCCGGCTGCAAGCGCTGCCTCTCAGCACCCCAGCCCTTGTCTTGTGGGCTCCTGGCTGCGAGCACCGCGTGCACCAGAGCCACGCACGCCCCGGCATTGCCGCGTCCCAGCCCGGTGGCTTTCCAGCGGTGGCGCGGGGTGCGGTGAGGCTCCGTGCCGTGCCGTGGTGTCTCGCCTCACCCCCCGCCTCTCTCGGCTTGGATTTAACCTGGGGTCACTTGGTAGGGCCGGGGGCGGAGAGCTGCAGCTCCTGCGCCTTCCAAAGCCCTTCCTGAGCTTGTCTCTGCTTGCCTTTCTATATTTGGTTACCGCAGACGGGAATTTTCCTGCATGGAGACGAGACTGGCGAGCAGAAAGAAGCCTGAGGTGCTCACCCTGAGCGTGGCAGCCTGTCCGGGGCCGGAGCTGTGCCACAGAGGCTTGTTTTAGTGCCTTGCCTTTGGTTTAGTGCCTTGGTTTGCTTTGTTTTCGTGCCTTTCAGTGCCTAGATTTCCCCCCTGGTGGCTGCGCCCCTTTTTACAGCGAGGCTTCCCCGAGCGCTTCGTCCCCTTGCACCCACATTGCCGCCTCGCTGCTGGAGCTGAACTCGTGTGACAGCTGTACTTGGGAAGATGTGTAATTAGAGGGGATTGAGAGCCGAGCCAGAACAACATTTTCCTGGCAGAGATTTGGCTCTGCGAGGCTTTATCTCGTGAGGGACTCGCAGCCAGATTTAGGCAGGGCTGCGCGAGCTCCGCCTTAGCAGGGGGAGTAGGAGCCGCGGTGCCGGAGCTGCGGGTGCTTTGCCCTCATGTCCCTGCTCAGGGCACGCAGGCACCCCTAACGAAGCAGTGGAAGTGAAATGAAGCACCCGAAATAATCTCTTGTGCTCTGTGTGACCGCCTTGGCGCCGTGCTGCAGCAGCCCCAAACCACCGGGGGTTTTCCTGAAGACCTCAAAATGTCTGGTTCCTCTGCGCCGCGCTCGTGGCCTCGCGCAGGAGAATCCATCCAGGGGGGCAGCTCTGCTCTTTTTTCTCTCCTTGTCATCCTGCCGAGCGTTTTTCTGCTGCATTCTCCTTTGCCTTTCTTTCCCTGGGTGCTGCTAGCAGGCGGAGGGGATGCCAGCTGTGGGCTCTGCTGCAGATCCTGCCCGCGGTGCTCCCGTTTCGCTCCTGGCCCCCATCCCCTGCCTGCCGCTGGGGAAGGACCTCGCCGAGCTGGTCTGGCCTCGCGTTCAGGTGGAGCCACCCGGGCTCTGCTGGTAGCTGCTCTCTTATCAGCCTGGGAGCAGAGAGATCAGGCCGGGAGAGCTCTGCGGCTCCTTCCCCTTTTGGCTGCAGCTGTTTGCCACGGGCTGTTTGTGCACCTGGAGGAGAGGCGGGCGATCGGCAGGGGAAGGAGAGGAGCAGCGCGGGTGGGGATGGCGCCGGGTGCGCCTGCGCCATGCTTGCGAGACCCCTGGTGGGCCCAGCAGGGCCTCGCTTGGGCCTGCAGAAAAAAAAAACACAAAAACAAAAAAAAAACAAAAAAACACCAATTTTCTTTATTCAAAGGGAAAAAAGCTCAGAAACGCCGTGCTGTTTGTATCGAGAGGCTCATGGCTCTGCCTTGCTCGAAGCCGAGCCCGCGGCACGCAGCCGGCGTCCGTGCCGCGTGCGGGACCGCGCCACGGCTCTCGGGGGGCTCTCGTCCTTCAGGTGCGCGCGGTTCCCCGCTCGGGAAACTCCCCGTCGGGCCGGTTGGGGCCGGGGATGAAAGCGGGCGGCGTGCCGCTGCCGGCAGGTTCCCGCACGCCGGCGCGTGGGAGGTCGGCGCCCGGGGGAAATGCCCCGCGCGGAGCCGCTCGCTCGCAGGGCTCCGTGCTCGAGCTGAGCCTGCCGCAGCCTCGCTCCGTTTGCCGTGGTGCTGACCCTGTCCTTATGTCTGCCTCTGCCCCGCAGGATGGACAGGATGACGGAGGACGCGCTGCGCCTGAACCTCTTGAAGCGGAGCTTGGACCAAGCGGATGATCGGGACGATGTCCTGGCCAAGAGGCTGAAGATGGAGGGACACGAGGCGATGGAGCGCCTGAAGATGCTGGCACTGCTGAAGAGGAAGGACCTGTCGGGCATCGAGGTGCCCCACGAGCTCCCGGTGAAGCAGGACGGTGTGAAAGTCTACGAGGAAAAGCTGAATGGGAGCCTCAGGCCCCATGGGGATGGCAGGACTGCAGGGAGGCCGGGGAAGGAGAACATTAACGACGAGCCGGTGGATATGAGCGCGAGGAGAAGGTAGGTGCCCAGCGGCTCGCCTCGGTAGCTTGCCTCTTGGGAACCCAGCACTGCCAGGTGGGAACTGAACGGGCATTTCGTGGTCCTGGGGCTCGGGGGGTTCCCGGCGCTGTGCTGCCTGCGGGGTGCCTCTGGCTGAATGCCGAGGAGCGGAGCCCGCGCTGCTCTCCCAGCAGAGTTTCTCTGGAAGCGTTCAGCGCTGGGCTTTTCTTGCTTTACCTCTGCTGTCCTCCCTGTTGTCCCCAACACCAGACGGATTGCGTTGCTCCCTCTGTCCCTGTGCTCAGCATTACAAGCTGCAGCAGTCGGGTGCCTTAGAAGCAGACCGCTGGCGTGCGTGAAGGCAGGGGGCTTCGATTCTATTGGGACTTCTTATTAGTGTCCCCACAAGTGTCAGCAAAAGCCCTTCGTGTAGCTGCAGGCCAAATCCGATGTAAGGGCACGGATCTCGCTCTCAAACCCAGCCCTGGCTGGGCTGTGACCGGGGCCAGAGGCGTTTGCTTCTTGCTGCTGAGCCAGGACTGCTCGGGAGAGGCGGGCGGCCGGGTGCTGGGGATCCGTGCCCGCTTTCTGCCAGCTCTTGGGCATTCCTCCCGTGCTCTGTGTTTGCATCCTGCCGGCGCACGGCGCTCCCACCTGATTTTTATCAGGGGGGGAACTCCGGCAGCTCAATTTCCGCAGCCAGCACCTGCAGCCGGGCTCTGCTGAGGGGTTTGCACGCGGAGCCTGTCACACACGGAGCCTGTCACAGTCCCTGGCTCGGTGTCACTGGGGAGATCAAACCAAAGGCAGCGGTTCCGAGTTCTGGCTCGCTTTGGGTACTGAGCTTGGCGAGCAGGCAGAGGGGCAGGACGGAGGAGTCCTGCTGTAGGGAAGCACCCGGAGCCGTGACCTTCCCGCGATGCTCTTGGGGTGCCTGAAGGTGCCTGAAGGTGCCTGCGCCCTGCTCGGAGCCAGCCTTGTGCCATGAAGTGTGCCTGAAGGAGGCGGTGATCCCCGGGCACAGCCACAGCCACGGGCACGTAGTCCAGGGGCCAGCAGCGTGGTGAGGGTGGGCTGGGAGCTGGGTTCCTGCGGATCCTCCCGGCTGCCTCCCCCGGTGCCGGGCCGCACGGTGCCAGCACGGTGTGTTCCCTGCCTCCCGTTGCCCCTCCTGGAAGGCACCAGCTCGTGATTCAGCACAACTGCGGCTCCTGCCCCTCGCCGTGCCAATGTGCCGGGTTCTGGGGCAGGCAGGGGGTGCAGGCTGCCCCCACCCCGGGCCAGGAGCCAGGAGCAGGGGGTTGCGGTGTTCTAGCCGGGCTCGGCGAGCAGCAGAATGGGGTGAACGGGCCTGAAGGGCTGGCGGTGGAGAGGAGAAAATCCCCAGGGTTGTTTGTCTTTAACAGCACCGTGCATGGCCCCAGTCCGTGCAGGCATCGCCGCCGCTGGCTCAGCCTCCTGCGGAGCGTGGAGAGCCACGGGGGTGAGGCAGGGACGGCACTGCTGGATTCCCCGGTGTCCCGTTTGTGCCCGTGGGAGCTCTCAAATCTGCAGCTCCCTCCGTAGGCACGTGGGGCTCGCTGGCAGCCTGCTGGGAGCGTGGCACTGCGCTGCTGCACCTCCACAAAGTGCAGTTCTGCCCCCAAACTCCCCGCTTTGCTCCAGTTTAACACGGCTTCGCAGGGACAGAGGATACCCGGGGGTCAGGGGTCCCCAGCACAGCGTTTGGGTAGGATTTGTGATACCCCAGATATCCTAGCACGGGGATATCCAGCCCCTCGACGTGGTTTTGGCTGCCGGAGGTGCTAAATGCTGGGGAGCAGTGGCAGTGCCCGGCTGCTTTGTGCTGCGGATCCTCGGCTGAGCTGCTGGGGTGCAGGGCAAGAAGCAGAGGGGCCGGCCGGGTGCCGGGGCTGGATGTGGACCCCGCAGAATTGGAGGCGGTTGCAGCAGCTTGGGTCGTGCGCCCGAAATCCTGAGCTTTTCCCAGCAGGTTTGGTTTCTGGGAGAGGCTGGGACCAAAACCTGCCCCTGGTGACAGCTTCACAGGGGGGCAGCCCTAAGGAGAGGGAGAAGGCTCAGGGCGAGGTGCTGGTGCTGTGTCACCTGCCTGCCAGCTGATAAAGGGTCATTAACCGGGGCGGGCTGGGAACCGGCTCCTTCCCTTCTCACCTTCGCCTGCCTCCTGCACGAGCAGCGCAGCTTTCCTTCCAGTAGTTCTGTTGTAATTACGCCCTTGCCTCGACAAAAGTAAATAAAACAATCCTGACATATTCAGCAATTCTTTGCAGATGGCCCCGTTTTCCCCTGTCTGGCTTTGACGCTGGCTTTTTTTTTTTTTTTTTTTTTGCCTTTTTTTTTTTTTTTTTTTTTGCCTCCACGGAATGTAAATAAAACAGCCCGGACGTAGCTGGGTGCTCGTCCAAGACAACCACCGGCTGCCAGCGCGGCGGCAGCGCCTCCAGGAGAACCCCAAAGCAGAGCCCAGCGCTGGGCTCCTCCGGGGTGCTTTGGGGGATGCTTTAGGGTCGAGTCCCTCCCTGCGGGATGTCCCGAACCTTCTCTGGTGCTGGGGGCTTTCCCCGGAGACCCCCGGGTGCTGCTGTCAGCAGCCTGCAGCGGGCACAAAGCCCCGGTGTGGCCAGGAGCCTGCCCGGTGGTGGTGACCGACCTCAGCAGAGCTCCTCTCCTAACCCTCGTCCAGTGGCACTGGGACCAAACCCAGCCCTCGGGGTCTGGCAGGGAAATGGCCCCCGGGCCGTGTCCCGTGGGGGCAGTGGGATGAATCAGGCTCCTGGCATCCCGGCTGGATTCACGGCCCCTGGAGTACTCCAGCCTGGGGATTTGGGCTTGGCTTTGTGGCTCGTGCTGGCTTTTCCGAGCCCGAAGCCCCGGATGGGATAATCCGGGCATCTCCTCCCTGCTGCAGCCTCGGAGACCTTCCAGTGGCGGTGGCAGCGAGCCCGGTGCCGTCGTAGCTGCGCTGCTCTCACCGCTTCCCCCCGACTGCTGAGCATTTTCCAAGGCTCTCCAAGCACCATCGTGTTGACTCAGCGATAGGAAAGGGCTTTTAGGAGCATCTCCTCGCTCAGGATGATGCCACAACAAACGAAGCAGCGCTCGGGTGCTGCCGGCGCACGGCATTGATTTTGATTTTGATTTTTTTTTCCCCAGCGAGGGGCTCTCGTCATTCCGCTCCTTTCATTGACCGGTTTCTAGGTCACGGTTCAGCCGGGTCTCCTGCCTCTGCGCAGGGTGTTTGCTCAGGCTTCCCTTCACGGGCAGCCTTTTAAAATAGAGTTGCAGTGAGGGAGGTTCGGGGCGCTTACGTCTGCGCTGACCTGGGGACGCGTCTTATCCTTGTCATTCAGGGGGTGGGATGAGGACGATAGGTTTGGGTTTGGGTAAGGACGAGCAGCACCAGGCAGCAGTGTCACTGCTGCTCCCCCTCCTCGCAGCTCCCGGTTCTGGATGTCTCTCCCCGTTTGCTTGCTCCGTGGCTCATTAACACCCGAGCAATCCACCTTTCACCCCAGTGCAGGAAAATTTCCAGCGAGCCCGTTCCCTTCTGAACACGATCACCTTCCGAGCAGAGGATGCTCCTGTCCTGGCGCTGGCCGTCTGCTCGTGCCAGAACAAGAAGCAGCGAGCTCCCAGCTCCCAGCTCGCTGCTGAGCTCTTGGAGTCACGGCTCAATCTTTTTTCTCCCTTTTGTCCCGCAGCGACCAGGACAGGGGGCGATTAACCCCTTCTCCAGATATAATTGTCCTCTCCGACAATGAGGCGTCCAGTCCCCGGTCCAGCTCTCGCATGGAAGAAAGACTTAAGGCAGCAAATCTTGAAATGTTCAAGGTAAGGGCTTCCTCGGCTGCTCTCGGGAAGTGGGGACAGCTGAGCAGGGGGAGGCCCTCCTGCTGCAGGGGGGGCGCTTTTTGAAGGGCTTGGGAACCGGGGGGGAATTTCCGAGCAACGTGGTCACTTCTGGTCATGGTGGCTCATTACCTGTGCTACAAACTCCTAATTAGTAACCCCTCCTAATGCCCTCTTGCCATCGAGGCACAGCAGCAGGTTTCGACTGTGCAAGTTCTGACCGATTTTCGGTGTGCTTGTAGGGTAAAAGCATAGAGGAGCGACAGCAGCTCATCAAGCAGCTCCGGGATGAGCTCCGGCTGGAGGAGGCCAGGCTTGTGTTGCTGAAGAAACTGAGACAAAGCCAGCTGCAGAAGGAGAACGTGGTACAGAAGGTGAAGCTCTGAGCAGCAGCGCTTGGGGCTGGCTGGGGGGGTGGGTGCTATAAAGCAGCCTGTTAGTGGAGAAATGCTGAGGACTCAGCTGGTTTTGGACCTTCCTTTACTCCATTCTGTGCCTGTGGGATCTTTCTTAGCTAAGTGCGTAGCGAATCCACAGGCCAGGCCACCGTGCTGCCCGTGAGGACAGCTGGGGAGGTGAATTTGTGCAGCTCTGAAACATATTGAGCACCAGCTGGCCTTGGGTCTTGGTACAGCTCCTTTCCAGCACCGCGTGTGACCCAGTGTTTGTTTTCTCTCGATCCAGACTCCGGTCGTCCAGAACGCGGCGTCTATTGTCCAGCCATCTCCTGCTCACGTGGGACAGCAGGGACTGTCCAAGCTTCCCTCCAGGCCTGGAGCTCAGGGGGTTGAGCCTCAGAACTTAAGGACATTACAGGTGAGCCTTCCTGAGGCCGTTTGCTGTGCAGAGGGCCCCGCGTCACCCCGCACGTGTGCGTGAATGAGCGAACGTCTCCGCCGCGTGCACGTCAGTCCTCCTGGCTGACTGAGGTGCTTTTGCCAAGAGGCAGATAAATGCTGGCACTTCTCAGCCCCCTGAGCAGAAAAGTGGTCACAAAGCTTGGAGGTTCCTCCAGCAGCAGCTCAGGAGGTGGGAGGAGCTGAATTTAGGGGCTGGTGCTGACCCTGAAGAAAGCTGCCTGCTGCTCGGTGACACAAGCTCTGGGGCTGCAGGAGGAAAGCTGTTAGCTTGCACTTAGCAGCGGGGAGGGCTCGGCAGCGTTCTGAAACAGCACAGAATGGGCAGAGGAAGAGGGGGAAGCAAAATGCAAACAAAACACAGGAATTGAAATGTTCCCCTTCTTTGGGAAAGTGCTGTGGGCAGAGCGGGGTGCCGGCCGAGCCGCCTACCTCTCCGTGCTCGCTCTGGATGTCACCAGCCGGAGCTGTGGGTGAAAGCACCTCGCTCGGCTGCTGCCTCCCCAGGGCTCTGCGGCATCACCCCGTGGGCTTTGCCCTGCTGGCAGGGGGCCGGGGGACAGAAATGAGATGCACGACGTCCCCGTGATGCTGTTGGGAAAGCAGATGCTGGGAGGAAGGCGCCCGGGCCGTGCAGGAGCTCGTTGCGGTGTCCCTCCAGCAGCTGCCTGCCCGTGGCCTCCTTGTGCTTCTGCCGAAGGCTTTGGCTGCAGCCTTGCTGATCACTTCTCCCTCCCTTAACCATCTCCTTTGTTGGTGGCATTTGTTTGCTTTGCTATGGCAACGCTTCTGGGGTCAGGTCTATTGTGGCTTCACAGTGGGACCGGACTGGTAAAGGAAACGGGCTGGAGGGGAAGAGGAAACGCATTGTTTGCAGGGGCTTTGTGAAGATTTTCTTGCTTATGACAATGAAGAACCTCATCTAGGAAAAAAAATAGATTAAAAAAAAAATAAAGGGGGGGCAGAGAAAGCTTGTCAGACCGGATTGGCTTAAGACACACAAAAAAATCGAGCCCTTCTACCTGCCCTCCTCCCAGCAGAGCCCTTCTGGTGGTGCACGGAGATGAGCGGACCCTGGGCTGGTCGGCCCTGGCCCTCGGCCTCCTCGGGGACCTCCTGAGCCCCTCACTGAGCCCCGCACCGTGTCCAGCACTGACAGCATTAGCTGGCAAACTGCCTGCTGGTTTTGTTTTTTTTTTTTTCCTTTTTCCCTTGCATTTGTACGTATTGATCAAATCGGCTCGGTTGTGCTCAATGCAGTGTAGGCCACGGAGGTGGGTCTGGAAAATCAGCTCCTGAACCATCCTGGCCTACAGCCTAGAGGGGAAAATAGGAGTATGTTAACATGAGACACCCTTGTTTTAGGCAAAATGAACGTGGTTATTTAAGTAAAAAACGTTTTAGAGGAGAAGTTGGGTCTTTGAGTGGCCTCTCTCCTTTGAACGTAACGTGAATTTCGGCTAAGTGGAGATGCTCGGCTGTCGTAGAGCCTGCTCAGGGAACTAAAAACCCTGCTTTGCCTCCAGTTCTTTATCTCCTTCTTGTTTCCTTTCTTGACAGGGTCACAGTGTCATTAGGTCTGCCACAAACACGACTCTGCCCCATATGCTTATGTCGCAGCGTGTGATTGCTCCGAACCCTGCCCAGTTACAAGGGCAGCGCGTTCCTCCTAAGCCTGGCCTCATCCGCACTACAACTCCAAGCATGAATCCAGCCATCAACTACCAGCCGGTAGGTCCCCGACTCGCCGCTCTTTGGGCACAGTTGCCCCATGGGGTTGGCCAGGAAGGGAAATAGGAGGCGCCTCTGGGCCCGGTGCGTGCCGTGGAGGGGCTCGGGGTGAAGTCATCACAGTGAGGTTTGGAAACGTGTCCGGAGCGTGGACACAGGGAAATGTCCCTGACCCGTGTGTGGAGTGGGATGGTAGCTAATGGAAAGCTGCCACCACGCTGGGTCACCCAAACGGTGCCACCAAGGCCCCAGTGCAGCGAGGTGACCGCTTTGGGAGCAGCCCCCGTTCCTCTCCCTGAAGAGGAAGACTGAGCCAAGCTCTAGGAGCCAGACACTTAAAACCCATCCGTTTTACATCTGGAAGTCAAACTGGCAGTGGAGAGGAAAGAAATACCACTTCCCAGCTGGAGCACTGGTCTCCTCGGTGCTGCATGAAGCAAAACAGCCCTTCTCTGCGCACAGACCAGCTCCCTGGGATGTGCCCCTGTGCTCTGTGCACAGTCTTGTTTCCTTGTCCCGGGCTACAACGCTTGGCTGCCACGCTGTGTGGCTCTGCGGGCCCAGGTTAACAACCACTCCTGGCTCCTTTCAGGGGTTGTTGCCAGTTCTTAAGCCATTTAATCTGTCCTAACGATGCTCTAGTGCAAATCCGTATAAATTACAAACGTGACTGCACAACGGTCCAAAAGCCTTGCATTTGAGCAACTGTCGAACAGTAATTGCACGTCTGATTTTAAAAAAGCAAACAAAAAAAACACAACAGCCTCTTAGAGAAGAGTTGCAAGTTCATTGGTGTTAATTCATCATCTTCTCATTTAAATCTGCGTGAGTCATCCCCGATCGGCTCTACCATTAGTTCAGACCTACGGTAGACCAACTGGTTTGGGATTAGCTCGGTTCTCTGCCCTTTTTCACAATCAGCCGGGTATTAGCCGGCTTCAAGCAGTCTGCCCCAGTTTTCTGTTTTATCTTCTGCGTGTTGTTCTCGATCAACGCAGCGCTGTCCCCCGAGCTTTGGTAGTTGACCCTGTTTGAGTTGCTGAGCCAGTTTGTTGCTGTGTGGGATTTTCTCCTCTGCAAGCGTTGAAGTGTTGGTACCCCAGGAGACAGGTAGGCTCCGTGAAAGGCTGGCAGCAGCCGTGCTCAAATAGGTTGCAGGCTGATGGCTTCTTATCACAAAAGACTGCGAAAGCTGCAGCATCAGGTCAGCAGAAGTCTTTGTGCTCTGTTACCGTCACGTGCCGGAGGGACCGCGAATCCAAACGAACGGAGGATGCCGAAGGAAAGCTGCTGGAAATGGAAGAGGAGGGAATTGGCACGCTCGGAGCACCTGTGTGGGAGGGATGGGCACCATCTGGCAGCGGGGATGCTGCCTGGGCGCGCGCCAGCTCGGTGAAGCAAAAGGTGGAGGAGCAGAACTTGCCGTGAACAATGCTGCCAGCGAGTGAATCACGGCGCGCGGAGCTGCCTACACGCCGCTGGGCCTGCAGCTCCTCAACGCCTTCCCTCACCTGCAGGGTCCTTGGGCTGCTCCCCACGCCGAGCCTCGCCGGGGCGCCTCGCTCCGTGGGCACCTGCCTCGTGCCTGGCTCCTCGGAGGGGCTGAGCCGTGCTCAGTGCTCCTGAGTCCTAGCACAGCCCTCTACAAGGCGTGCAGGCAGAGGGGTGGGTTGTCGGGGGGCTGCTTTAGGAGCTGAGCCGTAGCCGGGGCGCACGAGGCTCTCTCCTGCTCCGAGTGCCAGCCCCGCATTAATCCCCTTCTCCTCTTCCTCCCCAGCAATCAAGTTCTTCTGTTCCTTGCCAGCGTACGTCGTCTTCAGCCATCTATATGAACCTTGCCTCTCACATCCAGCCTGGCACTGTGAACAGGGTGTCGTCTCCGCTCCCCAGCCCCAGTGCTCTGAACGACGCCGCCAACTCCCAGGCAGCCGCCAAGCTTGCCCTGCGCAAGCAGCTGGAGAAGACGCTGCTGGAGATCCCACCCCCGAAGCCGCCCGCGCCCCTGCTTCACTTCCTGCCGAGCGCAGCCAACAGCGAGTTCATCTACATGGTGGGGCTGGAGGAGGTGGTACAGAGCGTTATCGACAGCCAAGGTGAGCCCCGGGGAGCGTTCCCCCGCTTCGGCACCGGCAGCGTTACCACGAGCTGGCTCCTTCCATCCCCTTCTTGCTCTGCACAACGCTGAAACCCGCGGCTTGGGGGCTGCAGGCGAGCACTTGCTGCCCGTACCCAGCTTTGTCCTCCATCCCCTCTTGCTGCAGCTTTTTTCCAGCCAAGCCTGGCCCCTGCAGCAGTCGGGAGCTGCCTGCTTGCCTGCCCTGCGGGCACGGAGCCCGTCTGGCTGGGCTGGCGTTGTGGGAGAGCCTCTCCCCGGCAGCAGCCTTGATGTGCCGAGCCTGCAGCCCTCCCGCGAGCCCTGGCTGTGCCGCGGGGCTCGGTGGCCGGTGCAACCCGCCTGGCAGGGCCAGGGCGTGGGGAGGGCTCTCCCTGGGCCCGTCCCTGTCCCCAAATGTCGGGGAGCTGAGATGCAAAACCCGCTGAGCCCCCGAGCTGGGAGCACCCAGGCTCCGTGGCCGGCTGCTGTCCCTGTCCCCGCAGCGAGGGGCCGTGCCCCTGCCCGTCCCCGGCAGCCCCAAGCTCCCTGTGGCTGGTTTTTGAGCGTCTTGCCCCATTTTTGAGCACCTCACCCTGGTTTTTGAGCACCTCGGCCCATTTTCGGGCTCTGCTGCCCGTTGCCATGGGAACGGGACGATTAGCCGGTGGCGGAGTCGCACGAACTGGGTTACGTAAAGCCCACGGCAGCGATTTTGGGGCGAGAACCCCTGCAAAAAGGAGGTGGGAGAGGCTGGAAGGGACAGCCCGCGCTGGGCAGGGGCTCTCTGGCTGCTGGCTGCTCCCGTGGGAGCCCCGAGGGTCCCCGTGCTGGGGGTGCCAAGGGCCTAGGGGCAGCAGCAGCTCCTTGTGATGCTGGCAGCGGGGTTTTGCTGGCTGTAAGCTCCCGGGAAGCCCCACCAGCTCCCACCTCGCCCTTCCCTCCACCGTGCAGCCCTCCCGGGACGCTCTTCCACCCCTTGGAGCACTGGCACCTTCCCTCGTGTGCCGGCTCCGTGCACGATGCTGCGTTGGTGTTGTGCCCGAGGTGGGAGGAGGCGGTGTAAGAGCCCAGCTGCCCCGTTGCCCCACTTAACTCCCGCTCCTGGCGCCTTGCAGGGAAAAGCTGCGCGTCCCTCCTGCGTGTGGAGCCCTTCGTCTGCGCTCAGTGCCGCACCGACTTCACCCCGCACTGGAAGCAGGAGAAAAATGGCAAGATCCTGTGCGAGCAGTGCATGACTTCCAACCAGAAGAAGGCACTGAAGGCAGAGCACACCAACCGGCTGAAGAACGCCTTCGTCAAGGCTTTGCAGCAGGAGCAGGCAAGTGCCCGGCGCGCACGGCGAACCTGCTGGGTGAACCCGGCTCCCCCTCGGGGCACCGGGAGCCGCTGCTCCCCTCCCTTTGTGCACCTCCATCCTTTTGGTTTCTCTGCTGGGGCTCCTCGAGGAGTTTCACCTCTCCTTGGGGACGCGCTGCCCGCTCCCGCCGTGCGCGGGGTGTTCCAGGAGCGGCTCTGCCTCTCCTCGGTGCCGGCTCGGTGACTCGTCCCGCTGACAGCAGTGGGAGGCAGAGTGGGCTGAGGGCTGAGTCAGGACAGCTGGCTGCTCTCCCCGCTTTGCCACTGACTTCCTGGAACTCGAGGGAAGTCGCTTAACCGCTTGCTGCCTGCTCGCTCGGCTACGAAAACGAAAATGGGGGGGGGGGGGGGGGAGAGGGACGACTCGCTGGGTTCCCGTGATAAATTGGTGCTGCAGAACTCGTTTGGAGGCCCTGGGGGGAAATAAACCGGAATCAGAATTTGTGAACTGCTTAAAAAAAAAACAAAAAAACACACAAGATGAAGCGGAATCCGGCTGCTGACAAGTCGGACGTGCCTGTTTTGGAGCAGGAGGAGTCGTCTTCTCCGGGCTGTTTGTAACAAGTGGGTGCAGAGAGAAAAAAGCTGTCGGTGCTGGCTGCAGCGAGCCTGCAGTTCCAGTCACACCTTGGGAACGCAGCCGAGCTCTAAGTGGGCAGCGGGGCTTCAAATCAAGCTGCGATTGCACCGCATGGGGACAGCAGCCCGTGGGAGGAACCCGCTTTGCCCTGCTCCTGGGATGCCACCCGCTGGGGCAGGGCTCTTACCTCGCGGGGTGAGGTCTGAGCCTCCCGCCCGCACCTGAGGCCTCTCCTCTCCTCTTCCTCCCTTGCAGGAAATTGAGCAGAGGCTACAGCAGCAGGCGGCCTTGTCCCCCACTGCGGCTCCTGCCGTCTCCAGCGTCAGCAAGCAGGAGAACATCATGAGGCACCACACGCTCCGGCAGGTGAGCGGCTCCCGCCCGTCCCCGAATCACCGTCACCTCTCCACGGGCAGGATTTGGGCTGGCTGGGAGCTGGCTGGGCGCAGCGAGCCCTCCTGCAGCGAGGGAGCTGTGAGCACCCCGCTGCCTTCTCCTGGTCCTCCCAGTGGATTTAGGCTCTTGGGCACTCTGCTTTTTTTCCCCTGGACTCCACGGTTGCTCCTAACCGGAGTCCCGGTGACCCGTCTGGGACCGCGCTGCCGTGCACCGGGCTGGGCTGTGTCCAACTCCTCATCCTCCAGCTGGGCTCCTCCGGAGAGACTCAGCTCCCCCCGGTCCTCGCGGGTCCCGTCCCCCCCCGGCACGCCGTCGGCTCACGTCCCCTTGTTCCTTCTCTCCCCCCCCGCAGGCTCCGCAGCCCCAGAGCACTTTGCAGCGCGGCATCCCCACCTCTGCCCGCTCCATGCTCTCCAACTTTGCGCAGGCGCCGCAGCTCTCGGTGGCGGGCGGTCTCCTCGGCATGCCAGGTAACGGCCCCGGGGAGCGGGCGGGTGGGAGGTCGGGGGGGGGAAAATCCACCGCCCCCCCTGGCTGCTGCACGTCCGAGAGGAGTCCCCAGCTGCTTTTCTCTCCCCTCTGCAGGTGTTAACATTGCGTACCTGAACGCTGGCATCGGAGGCCACAAAGCGTCGAGTTTGGCGGACCGGCAGCGGGAATACCTTTTAGATATGATCCCCCCCCGGTCTATATCGCAGTCCATCAGCGGACAGAAATAACGCCTGCTGAGCACCCCCCCCCCACCCCCCCATCCCTTCCTCCCCACCTCCGTCGCATGCAGTGCCTGTACTGGTGCCTACCGTACATGGGGAAAAAAAAAGACAAAAAAAAGAAACAAAACGAAACGAAAAAAAAAAACGACAAACAAACAAAACGGAAAAAAAAAATCCACAAAAAAAAAAAAAAAAAAGAAAGAAAAAACAAAAAATCCCATTTCAAACCTTCAGCGACCTGTCCTTTTCCAAACCTTAACTTCTTTGGTTTTCTATAGCAGTGAGAGGTCACTTCCTTTGCCCGAGGTCAGAACAATGTCTGCTTGAAGTCAGCACTATCCATGTGTTAAAGCTTGTTTTATGCTATTTTTTTTGTAATGACAAAGCATAGAATTTTTAATTGTGTTGTGTTTTTTTGTTTTTTTTTTGTTTTTTTCCCCCCTTTCCTCCTCCTTTGCTAAATGGATGGTTAAAACCTTTTTTTTTTTTTTTTTTTTTTTTTTCTCCTTTCCAGAGACTTGTAAAGGGTCATCCACTTTACATAAAAGTGACCGGTTTTTTGTTTTCCAAAGGGCAGCCTGGGCTGACTCCCGGGGGAAAAAAAACGGGGGCACAAAGCGCTGCGATGGGCTTGGAGCCGGGACGGCCGTCCTCGCCGGTAGGGTGCTCGTTTCCCTTTGCTCCCCAGAAGAAGCCAGGAGAGCTGCTCCACGGCCCCCTCCCGGAGGAGGGCAGCCCCCGGCCGCCGTCTCGGGGTCCCCGTGGGGGGGTCTCGATGTCCCTGCGTGGCTGTGGCCCCCCCCACACACACCCCTCTCAGCCCCCCCCCCCGGGCACGGCTGGGCTGCGGCCGCTGGTGGCAAAACCCCAAAGCGAGGAGAAGCCGCGGAAGTCGTCGGAGAAATGCTCGATTTGCACTTAACCTTCACACTAACGGCCCCCCCCCCCACCCCCCCCCCATCCTCTTCCTCCTCCTCCTCTTCCTCCTCTTCCTCTTCGGCCTCCGCAGAGCAGAAGCGGGCAGCTGGAGCGTGCCCCCCCCCTCCCAAAGCTGCCCCCCCCCCCCAGCGCCGCGATGGAGCAGACCCCGCAGGCGGCCGCAGGGAGTTCATCCCCCCCCCCCTGCCCCCCCCCGAGTTGTTTTTTTTTGTGTGTGTGTGTGGTTGATTTTTTTTTTTATTTTTAATATTTTTTCTTCTTCCTCACCTTAAAATTTTCTCGTGCAATTTTCAGCCGCCCGCAGGGAGCCGCTTTTTGGGGGCACCCCCCCCCCGCCCCATCACCACCCTGGCACCGCGCTGCCGGGGCCAATTTTGGGACTTGGGGGGGGGGGGGGCCCAACTCCGGGCAGTGCCCCCCCACCCAACCCCAACCATCTCCCCCTGGTGCCCCCCCCTCAATTCGATGAGCACTTACTCCCCGAGGGGTGTGGGCGCCCCAAACCCCCCGCCCGGGGCCCTCCAGAAGCAAAAGGATTTTTTTTTTTTGGGGGGGGGGGACACTAGTGAAGCGTAGTGGCATGTATATATATATATAACCTATATATATATACACGTTTTTTGTGTGTGTTCTTTTTTGTTTGTTTTTTACTCTCTTTTAGCTGGCTTGGCCCCCCCCCCTCCCAAATCCCCCCCCCCGGGACCCCCCGGGTTCCTCCCCAACCTCTCCCCTTTTTTCTGGCCCGGGGGGGGGCTGTGCCCGCTTGGCCTTTCCCCTTGGATCCAGCTGAGACTTTTTGGGGTTTCATCGCCCCCCCCCCCCCCACAGACCCCCCCCCCCCCAGCCCTCGTTTAAGTGCCATTGTCCCCAATCAGGTGTTGCCGAGAGGTACGAGGTGACCCGGGCGCATTGGTTGAGATGAAATTTTAAAAATTTAAGGAAAGAAAGAAAAAAAAAAAAAAAAGTGCAATACTTCGGAGATGAGTCTCTGCCGCCGGGGGGGGGGGGTTCGGGGTGGGGGGGGGCACAGCGTCCCGCTGCGGGGCAGGGCTGGCGGCTTCATGGTGCTAAGGGAAATTTGGGGAGGGTCCCGGCCCCGCTCCAGCCCCCCCCCGGGGGTCCTGGCCCCCCCCCGGCCCCCCCGTTGGATGCGCAGCTCCCGGTTTGCTTTCGTCTTGACCACCGCGTGCGAGCCCCCCCCCCCCGGCCCCCCCTGCACCCCCCCTGGATGTGATGTACGGTAGAAAATCGTCATTTCTTCCTTTTTTTTTGTTGTTTTTCTTTTTTTTTCCTGTTTTTTTGGATACAGAACTAAGGATTTCTTCCCGCTTTTGTTAGCTTTTCTTTTACCGCTAGGTGTAGAGCCGCTTGTGAAAAAAAAAAATGCTTATTGGGGTTTTATTTTTATTTTTTATTTTTTTTTTGGTTCCTCCAAAGGCGTAACCCCCCCCCCCCAACCTCTAACCTCCCCCCCTCATCGCCCCCCACCCTCCCCACCCCGACGAGATCTTAATTAGCTTATGGTATTGCTGCCGAAATGTTATAACAAGGACTCATTCGTGTATATAAGCTATTTCTTGACACATTAAAAAAAGAAAAAAGAAAAAAAAAATGAAAAAAAAAAAATTGTACATTGTGTAGAAAAAAAAAAAAATGAAAAAAAGGAAAAAAAAAAAAAGAACCTGACCCGAAAAACAAAACAAAAAAAAAGAAACAAAAAACCAGCCTAGCCATGGGTGTTGTGGAAGTTGTCACGTCCTTGTCGTAGTGTGGCCTCGTGCGTGTGACATGAACCGTGCAAAAAGTGGGGGGGGGCCGGCTGGGCTGGGGGGGGGGGGGGCGAAATGGGGAGGGAGGGGGGGGCGGCGGGGATGCACTGGTGGCGGCGGCCACCTCCCAAATCTGTGCCTTCACACACACACGACAGGACCCCCCCCTCCTCCCGACCCCCCCCCCCCCCAACCCCTAAAATGCCCCCCCCTCGACCCCCCCCCAGCTCCCCCCCCCCCCCCCCCCCGACCCCCCTCCCAGCACGGCGGGGCCTGGGGGGGGGCTTCCCGCAGAGCACCGGGAGCGGGGGGCCTGGGGATTGGGGGGGGGGGGGGAGAGCGTTGGGGATGAAGGGGGGGGGGGGTTGGGCGAGGAGGGGGGGGCGAGGGGGGGGGACGAGTATTCTGAACTGTAACTGTATTTGCACTGTTTTTATTATTGCATTGGCATATATACAATATACAGCTATAACAACCTGCGGTGTGCCGCCTCCTTCGTCTCGCCCCCCCCCCCCCGCCCCCCCCAATCCCCATCTCCCCCCCCCCCAAATGATATCAAAACCAGGAGCTTTGGTTATCCCCCCCCCCCCCCCCCCCCCAAATTGCAGAGATTTTGCCCCAAAGCTGCTAGGAGAGGTTGGTTTGCATCCCCCCCCACCCCCCCCCCCCCCCAAATGGGTACCAGGATCAGGCTGCCCCCCCCCCGCCCCCCCCAGCACCCTCCCCGTTTTTACTGGGACCCCCCCCCAATCTCCAGCAGCCCCCCTCCCTGCAAACCCCCTCCCCCCCAGCTCCCACTGGGGGGGTTCCCTGCCCACCCCCCCATGCCCAAATTCCCCCCCCCATGGTTCCCAAACCGCTGCCCCCCCCCCTCCACCCCCCCAGCTCTGTCACCTTTCGGGGGGGGGGGGGGGGGGGGCACCAGGGTCACCCCTGTGTGAGCATGGGGGGGGGGGGGCAGCCATGAGAGACCCCCCCCCCCCAAAAAAAAAGAGGGGTGGCAGCTGAGCAGGAGGTGTGAAACTGCACAATTTAATGCGCCCACCCCCCCCCCCCCCAGCCTCCCCCCCCCATTTTCTTTTTTCTTTTTTTTCTGCATTGTGTTTGAAAAATCTGGTTGAAAAAGGAAAAAAAAAATAAAGCAAAAAGCCGTTTGAATACTGCCAACTGGTTCCGCAGTGACTGGTTACAAATAATAAGCTAATTTTTGGAGAAAGGAGTTAAAAAATTAAAAAAAAATAATAAAAAAAACCTTTGTAATATTTATCACTTGCAAGCTATGTTTAATAAAGAAAGGAATGATTTATAACTTTGGATGCGGCTGCTGTGGTGCATTGGGGCTGCGGGAGGTGGGCGCGTGGCCCAGCCGGCCTTTTTTTTGGGGGCAAAACCCCCCGAATTGAGGCCAAGCGTCATTGTTGGCCTTGGTGCCCTCCCATGGGTTCCCCCCGCCCAGCGTGGGGTGGGATGGGGGGGTGATAGACGCGGCGTCGAGGTTTGCTACAAAAAGTCTTTATTTGCCAAAAAAAACCCGAAATGGGAGAATTTTACGTAGAAAGGGCCCCGAGGAGGGGAAAGGCACTGGTGGCTGGGGCAGGAGCCCCATGGGGGGGACACAAGGAGGTTTGGGGGGGGGGGGGCTGGTAGGATGGACGGGAGAGCCCCAGGACAGATGTGGGGACCCCAAGACGGATGTGAGGGCCACGGGATGGACATGGGGGCTGCAGGATGGATGTGGGGGCTGCAGGCTGGATGTGGGGCCTGTCGGATGGATGTGAGGGCCACGGGATGGACATGGGGGCTGTAGGATGGATGTGGGGGCTGCAGGATGGATATGAGGGCCGCAGAATGGCCATGGGGACTGTAGGATGGGCGTGGGGGTTGCAGGACAGACATGAGGCCTGTAGGACGGACCTAGGGACCACAGGATGGACGTGGGGCCTGTAGGATGGGTGTGAGGACTGCGGGACAGATATGGGGCTTGTAGGACAGACGTGGGGGCTGTCAGATGGATGTGAGGGCCATGGGATGGACATGGGGCCTGTAGGATGAACATGAGGGCTGTAGGACAGAGATGGGGCCTGTAGGACGGACATGGGGCCTGTAGGATGGATGTGGGGGCTATAGGATGGATGTGGGGGCCGTGGGACAGACATGGGGCCTGTAGGATGAACACAGGGTGTGTAGGACAGACGTGGGGGCCGTAGGATGCATGTAGGGCCTGTAGGATGGATGTGGGGCTTGTAGGACGGATGTGGGGGCTGCAGGATGGATGTGGGGCTGTAGGATGGATGTGGGGGCTGTGGGACAGACATAGGGACCTGTAGGATGAACATGGGGGCTGCAGGACAGGACCTAGGGCCCGCAGGACGGACGTGGGCACTTCAGGACAGCCCCACAGCGCCGTGGGCCACCCCCTGCTGGACCCCCCCTGGCCCCTTGGGGCACCGGGGCCTGGCCTAGAGGCGCCTGCGGCCGGCCACGATGTCCTCCCAGAGCGCGGGGCCCAGGGGCACGTAGGCGCGGGCGGCCTCGTCCAGCAGGAACAGGGGGTCGGGGACGCGCGCCGGGTCGAAGCCCTCCTGCGCCAGGCGCACCTTCTGCTGCTTGAAGGTCGCCGTCATCTCCAGGCGCTCCTGGCGCGGCGACACGGAGGTGCTGGGCCCCCTCCCCTCCCCGCTGTCCCCCCCCCTTGTCCCCGTGTGTCCCCCCCCACCCCGTTACCTGCAGCCGGAGGAAGCGGGGTTGGGCGTATGGGGGCAGCAGCTCGGCCACGTGCTGGTAGAGCCCGGCGCCGTCCAGCCGGCAGCCGGGGCGCAGCACCAGCGCCGCCATCCCGGCACGGCCCTCGTGGCCTGGGGGGCGAGGGGCAGAGCTGGGGGGGCACCGCTGGGCGATGGGGTGGGGTGGGGGTGGGCAGCGGGGTGGCTTTGGGGGGCAGCGCTACCTGGCACGCTCACACCGTAGACGGTGACTTCTTGCAGCGCCTCGTGGGCCGCCAGGACTTCGGCCACCTCCGTGGTGGCCACGTTCTCACCTTTCCACCTGGGGGGGGGGGATTGGAAGGGGGCTGAGCACCCCCGCGTGATGGGGGGGATGCTCTGAGGGGGTCCCCGTGGGGCGGAGAGGGGGTGGGGGCCGCGCGCTCAGCACCACCTGTACGTGTCGCCGGTGCGGTCGCGGAAGCGGACGAATTGGGCCGCGTCCTGCTCCATCAGGTCACCAGTGCTGAAGTAGGTGTCCCCCTCGGCAAAGACCCCGCGCAGCAGCTTCTGCTCCGACAGCTCCTGGCTGCCCGCGTAGCCCAGGAAGGGGGTCCGGGGGGTCACCGGGGCGATCAGCAGCCCCGTCTCGCCTGCGGGGACCGGGGCTGTGTGAGGGGGATGGCCCTGGGACCCCCACCCTCCCTGGGATCCCCAACTTCCCTGGGATCCCCAAATTCCCTGGGACCCCCCAGCTCCGTCCCCGGCCCCCCGCCTCACCCGTCCCCACGCGGATGCAGCGCCCGGCCTTATCCCGCACCGGGGCTCCCTCGGCCACGTCGTAGCGCACGATCTCGAAGGGCGAGAAGAGCTGGGGAGCGCGGCGTCAGGATGCTGGGACGGGGACGGGGACGCGGAATTCCCCATCCCAGCCCCCGTCCCCGTCCCCCCAATGCCCCCAGCACCTTGTAGATGAAGCTGCTGCGCCCCACGGCGCCGGGCGTGCCGGTGTAGTTGAAGAGGGTGACGTTGCCCTCGGTCAGCCCGTAGGTCTCCACGATGCGGATGGCCCCGAAGCGCTCCAGGAAGCGCCGCCAGACGTCGGGGCGCAGCCTGCTGCCCACCGCCAGCCGCAGCCTGTGCTGCCGCTCCCCGGGGCGCTGCTGGGAGGCAGGGTCAGCACTAGGAGGCTGGGGGGGGGGCTCCAGAACCCCTCCTGGTCCTGCCTGCCCCCCCCAGGTCCCCCCCAGACCTGGGGCTGGTTGACCAGGTAGCGGCAGAGCTCCCCGATGTACTGGAAGACGGTGACGCCCTCGGCACAGGCAATCGTCCCAGAACTGGCTGGCCTGAGAACTTCTCCTTCAGCACGCACGTGGCCCCTGCACGAAGAGGAGGAATCAGCCCCCACTTTGTCCACCCCCCTCCCCCGGATGCCACCCGGGGGTCCCCAGCGCCCCTCACCCACCGATGCCGATGCAGCCGACGATGCCCAGCAGGGACCCGGCCATGTGGTAGAGCGGCAGCGCCAGGTACACCACGTCGCGGCTGGAGGCGCCCACCAGCTCGTAGAAGCTCAGGCACATGATGGATTTGAGGTGGGAGATGCGGGCGGCCTTGGGGAGACCTGGTGGGGAAAGGGGGGACGATGCTGCTGAGCCCCCCCACCCCCACCCCGGGGCCCTGTTCCCTGCGGTGCCCCCGTCCCCGTTCCAGTCAGCGCCGTCCCCACCAGTGGTGCCCGAGGTGAAGATGTAGAGGCAGGTGTCGTTCATGTCCTCGGGCTGCCACACGTCCTCGGGCTCCAGCTCCTCCGAGGCCTCATCCAGCAGCTCCTGCAGGGCCACCACGCCGGGGGGGTACGGCCCCGCGCCCAGCACCCACACCACGATGCCGTCCTCCTCCTGCAAGGCTGGGCAGGATCGGCTCCACCATGGGAAACAGGTCTGGGGAGGGGGGAGTGGGATGGGGTGGGGGCAGGCCCTGGGCATGGCTCCGGTCCCCCCCCACACCCCCAAGCCTGTCCTGGTGGGGCAGAAGCTGGGGACCCCCACCTGCGGGTGGCATCAGCCTTTGGGGACCTCCCCCCTCCCAGCCAGGGCACCCCAAGCCCTGGTTTTGCCATGGGGCAAGGGGACGGGGCACGTGGCTGGGACCCTCCTGGACACCCCCAGCTCCCTGACCTCGCATCGCCCCCATGCTGGAGACACCCCAGTGACCCCCCCAGCACCGCCCTGTGTCCCACCCCATCCCAGGTGGCCATCCTGGGCTCGGTACCACTGCCCCCATCACCAGTACCCCCAAGGTACCCAGGTACCTCCAGTACCCCAACCCCTGGTGCCCCCGGTACCCTGGCACCCCTCATCCCTCTGCTGCCTCAGTGGCCTTGTCGGTACCCCTGGGACCCCAGTGCCCCCACCCACCATGCCCCTGGTACCCCAGTACGACCCCTTGGTACCCCCATCCCTGGAACCCCCTATTCCTCCATCCCAGTACTCCCAGTGTCCCCATCTCCTAAACACCCCAACTGCCTTTATCTCTGGTATCCTGGTGCCACTCTGGTACCTCAGTATCCCAGTACCCCTGGTGCTCCCTCCCCCAGTAATCCCAGTATCCCTGTTCCCCCAGTCCTCTCGGTACCCTGGATGCCCCCACCTCTTGGTGCCCCTTCTCACAGTACTCCCAGCCTCCCGGTGCTCCCATCCCATAGGTACCCCTGGTGCCCTTAGCTCTGGTACCCAGGTGCTCCCAGTGCCCCCATCCCCTGGCCCTTTTGGTGCCCCCATCCCTTGGATCCCCCCAGTCCCCAATCCCCAGTGCTCCCAGTATCCCAGTGCCACATTGTCCGGTCCCCCCGGTGCCACCATCCCTTGGTACCCCCAGTCCCCCTGGTTCCCCCTGGCGCCCCCATCTCTGATATTCCCAGTATCCCAGTGCCCCATTACCCAGTGTCCCCAGTGTCCCCATCCCTTGGTACCCCCAGCCCCCCCACCCCCAGTACTTCCAGTATCCCGGTGCCCCATTACCCAGTGCCCCCAGCCCCCCCACCCCAGTACTCCCATACCCCAGTACCCATCCCCTGACCCCCTGGAGCCCCCATCCCTTTCTCCCCCCGCCCCCCTGCTCCCCGCTATCCCCCCCCCCATTCCTCCCAGTATCCCAGCACCCCCCTCCCCATCCCCCCAGCATCCCGGTGCCCCCCCAGCAGCCCCCGTTGCCCCCCCCCCAGCTCCTCACCGTGCGCCACCAGCAGCGCCCTGGCCCCGCAGGCGCGCAGGCAGTGCCGGAGCGCTTTGGGGCGCAGCGCCGTGCCCAGGAAGGCGGCCCGGGCCCCCAGCGCCGCCAGCCCGAGCCAACCCCAGACGAAACCGGGCTCGTTCCCCGCCAGCAGCCCCACGGCCACGCCGGGCCCCAGCTCCCCGCCGCGCCCCCCCCCAGCGCCCGCCCCCGCAGCGCGTTCGCCACCCGCGCCACCGCCGCCGCCGCCCGCCCGTAGGGCACGGGCCCGGCCGCCACCCGCAGGAACGGCCGGGACGGAGCCGCCCGCGCCGCCCGCAGGAACCGAGCCGCGAGGCTGCCGCCGCCGCCTCCGGACCCCCCCGGACCCCCTCCCACCCCAGCCGCCGCCAGCGCCCGCCGCCGGCACCGAGCCGCCCGCGCCACGAAGGCGGCGTCCGCCCAGAGCCGCGGCCACAGCAGCCGCTGCAGCAGCGCCAGCGCCGCCAGCCCGGCCACCAGCAGCGCCACCAGCGCCATGGCCGCGACCCCCGGACCCCCCCCCCTCCCCACGCACCCGCCCCCCCCCCTCCGCCGCCGCCGCCGCCACCACCGACAGCCCCGGCTGGGGCCGCCCCCGGGAGGAGCCGCCCCCGCCCCCGCCCCCGCCCCGGGGCTGGCCCCGCCGTGGAACGCCCCCCCCCCAGCCCCGTCCAACCCCCCCCATCATGCTTGCCCCCCCCCCCCCCCATCCTGTTTGTGCCCCCCCATTTCGTCCCCGGCCTTCTTCCCCCTGCCGTGCCCTCCTCCTCCTCCTCCCCACGCCCCCCCCATTCCAGCCCCGTGCCCCCCCCCACGGCCCCAACCCCCCCATTCCACCCCTGTGCCCTTCCCCAATCCTCCCCCCCCCTCACACCACCATTCCACAGCCCCCCCGTGTCCCCAACATCCTCACTATGACCCCCCCCTTCCATCCCCGTCCCCCCCCCACGGCCCCAGCCCCCCCATTTCATCCCTGTGCCCTTCCCCACAGCCCCCCCATCGCATCACCCTTCTCCTCATCCTCCTCCCCACGCCCCCCCCCATTCCATCTGTCCCCCTCCCCATGCCCCCCCCCTCACAGCCCCATGTCCCCCCATTTCACCCCAATCCCCCCCCAGCCGCCCCCTTCTGCTCCTGGCCCCTTCCCACCCCCGTGGCTCAGGGGCTAGGGGGGGGGGCGCAGCAGCACCGCAGCCCCCTTGCACTGGGGGGGGGGGGCTGCTGCCATGGTATGGGGTCGGGGGGGGGGGGGGGGCTCAGCACCACGGAGCCCTCCAGGAGCCGCGGCACAAAGCGGGGGCGCCAGGTACAAAACAGTGGAAGAATTTTTATTTTTATTTTTTTTTAAAAACACTTAAAAATCGCTCATAGCTCTGGGGGTGAAAATGGAAAGCGGCCCCCCCCCCTCGTGCTGGCGATGAGCTCCAGCCTGGGTGGCACCACGGAGCCGAGCCCCCCCCCAGCAGCTCCATGCCCCAGGGGGGGGGAGCGCCCCTGCGCCCTCGGCCCCTCCGTCCCCCTCCCCGAAGCATCCCGGCACAGGCAGCTGGTTCGCACCCTTTATTTACATTTTTTATATGAAAATAGGAGGCTGGGGATGGACACCCAGGGGCTGCCTGCCCCGAGGCCCCTGCTAGGGCAGGGGGGGGCTCGGCCCCGCTGCGGCCCCTCCTTGGGGACCCCCATCCGCTGCTCGAGCCAGGCAGGGGTCGGGGCCAGGTCCTGCGGTCTGGGGGCGACGCGCTCCAGCCCCGGCCGCCGCCGTTACCGAAGTCGAGTGAGGAGGGTTGGCGTGGAAGCACAGCACCCGTGGTGGGGGCCGGGGGGGCCCCCCCGTCCCCAGGGGCTCCGAGGCTGGCGGAGGGGATGCGGAGAGAGCGGGCGAGGGGCCGCGCGCTCTGCTTTCCGTCCTGGCGATGGCTTTTTGTCCGAGAGCGGCCGCGGGGCTGCGCCCTCAGTCACTGTCCGAGCCCACGGCCGAGGAGCCTTTTCTTTTCCTTTTGGTGGGTTTGGGCTTGGTGTCTTCTTCCTCCTGTGCAGGGGGAGAGGAGGAAGCGGTGGTCACGACCATGGGAGTGGTCCCTGGCAGACGCGGCTCCCCCACGGCCCCCCACTTACCGAGGCGCTGCTGGAGGCCGATTCCTCCTCGTTGTTGGCCGGCTGGGCGGCGTTCTTGCGGCTGCGGGGGCTGGAGAGGGTGGCTTTTCGGCGGCTCTTTGGGGGTTTGGTGGAGGAGTCTTCATACTCCTCGGCCAGGGAGAAGAGGTCGCTGAACCTGGAAGGAAGCGGGGACGGGGTCAGACGCTGCCAGGGCAGGTGCGGGGCACCGGGACGGGCGCCGCCGACTTACTTCATCTTGTGGGCTTCGTCGCAGCTGGCCTGGACGTGCTGCAGGGCCTGCAGGATGGGGGTTTGGCTGAAAACTGTCGAGGAAACAGAAAAAGGGGAGTCAGGAGCTGGGTCAACCCCCCAGGGCAGGTTTTTGGCCCCCCAGGTGGGTGCTGAGGGTTTTGTGAGCCAAGCAGGAGGGGTCTTGGCATCCTGGAGCATCCCAGTCCCCATCTGGGATCTGCACGTGCCCCGAGGCGATGGGGCCGGGCGGCGGTACCTACAGTTCTGTTTGGTGTTGGTCAGGTTGAGGCGGAGGTTGTCCAGGTGCTCCAGGATCTGCTCCAGGGTGAGCTGGGCCAGTTTGCTGCTGGAACTGCGCAGGCTGGGGGCAGAGCGGGAGCGCAGTTGGTCCTGGGGGGGCAGGAGCCACGGACCCGCTCCTCCTGCACACCCCAACCCCAGCCCTGCTCTGTCCCCCCAAGACGGGCTGCAGGAGCTGTTTGAGCTCGTGCAGAGCTTGAGGGAAGACCGAGAACCCCCAAATCCCCAAGGAGATGCAGGGCATGGTGGTGGCAGAGCTAACGGGGCTGTCCTTCAAGCCATGGGGTGTGGGGACCAGCACCCATAACAGGGGGTGATTCTGCCCTGACCCTGCGGGTGCCGAGCAGTGCAGGGCTCTCCTCCTGCCCCAGCACACGAGGGATGCCTGGAGCCCGTCTGCTCTGGGAGTAAGGGGATGAATCCTGCTCAGGGTGCTCGCCGCCTCCTCCCCGGGGGCTCTGCGGAGCACTGAGCGCCCTGCGTGCAGCCCCAGGACACGGTGCGGTGCCAGCACCGGGCGTTACCAGCCTCAGCTGGCTGCCGGTTAATTAGCAGGGATTAGACCTGGCTTCAGCCCGGATCCTGGAACAGAAACGCCAGGAAAAGAGCTGCGTTGTTCCACTGCAGAGGACGGCTAATTAACAGGGAGGAGGAGAAGGGAACCGACAGACGAGCTGATTTCCCCAGCACCCTCGCAGGAGATGTGGGGGACCCCGCGGTGCCAGCGGGACGGACGCTGTCCCGGTGCCGGCTGCCAGCGGTCCTTGGGGACACGCAGCCCTCGCGGTGCTGCTCTGCTTCCCCAGGACACTAGATGTCCTTCCTACTCCAGCAAAGGGCCACCCGGTCCCAGCCTGGCAGCCCGCTGAGCACCAGCACCGGGGGGCTGCAGGAGGAGACCCCGGCACCGAGGGGCTGCGGCACGGCCAGGGGTGCGCACGCGGCTGCGGAGGGGCACGGAGCAGCGAAGGGAGCAGCAGGGGCTGGTGGCTGCTGCCGGGCACCGTGCGGGCTGTGCCCGCGGGAGAGGCTGCCTCTGGGTTTTGTGTTTGCTTTTGAGGCTGGATGAAAGGCTGGGAAAGCGCCTGGGGAGCAGAGCGGAGCAGAGCGAGGTCCTGCGGGCTCCAGCTTCGCCCAGCTGCCTCCTCCAGCCCCCCTGTGCCAAAAGGCTCTGTGACCCCGGCCACCCCAACGGCTGCAGTGTCCCAGGAGAGACCAAGCACGTGCCTGGTTGGCCACATCTGGGAGATCTGCACCCAAAAACGCTCCAGAAACATCATGCTGCTTGGCAGGCAGGCACAGCAGGGCCGAGGGGAGGCCGCTGACGCAGCAGGGGAGCGCCGCGGCTTGGCACCGCACGCACCAACAGCTGAAATGGAAGCTCTTCCCTCTTCCCCCAAACAACTCGGGGAACAGAGTCAAAACAAAAGGGTCTTCCTGGTGGGATGTCAGCTCAGGAGCAGAGCCGCTCGCTCAGGGCTCTACCCGTGTGTGGGTGGGCAGCGGCACCGCCCTGGCCCAAAGGGGGGTGGGCTGGGTGACGTCCCGCAGGACCCCTCACAGCATCCCGGCCCCGCAGAGCCCCCCGCTGCTGCCCCACCTTTGGCGTTTCCGCGGCAGGCTGTTGTTCTTGATGAGCAGCGACTTGATGTGCTCGGCCAGCAGGTCGTCGTGTTTGATGCACCAGTGCCGCAGGATGCTGGTGGTGAACTGGTCGTCGGGGTGGCACGGCCGGCTCAGCACCATCTTCACCATCTCCTCGCTGGGCCTGCAGCGAAACGGGGAGGGGGAAGGAAGAGGCCGGGTGGGTGCCCTCGGCTCCAGCCTTGGCACCTCCGTCCTGGGTCCCAGGTCCCAGGGGAGGCCAGCAGCACCCTGAGGCTGCGGGTAAAGGACCCTCCCGAGAGCAGCCGGCAGCGAGCTCCTGGCCCTGGCTCCTTGGTAGGAAACCACGCGGTGCTGCTGCGTGTGCGAGGCTGGAGCTTGTCTCTGCCATCACTTGTGTTTTGCTCACACCATTTGGAGCTGGGATTAGATTACCCAGCCCCACGCAATGCATCAATGAAAACAAATCAAGTGCTATCCACTGCGGGACGTGGCCAATGTGGGCAGGGACAGCACGGAGCAATGCCGAGGCACCTCTACCACCCCCCTGCCCGGAGAGGCAGGTGACAGCCTGCCCCCCGTCAAGTATGGGGCTGCAGGGCACGCAGGGTGGCAGGCAAACAGCGCTGGGGCTCAGCAGGCTGCGAGTTTGCCCTCGACAAACATTGCAGCAGGGAGCTGCAGCCTTTGGAAAGCCACCACCACAGGGCCACAGGCGGCACCCTGCTCCGTCCCTGAGAGGATCCAGGGCGAGGACTTGCACGTGGGCTCTCCCAAAAGAGAGCTGGGAACCCCTCGGTGCCAGCAAGAAGGGCTTTTCCCCTTTGCTGTTGCAAGGGGGGGGTGGCATCTCCTTGTCCCCATTGCACCAATGCTGCTCGGTTAAGCCCCCAGCGTGCCGGGGGGCAGCCCTGCCAGCTTTCTGCCCCCGGAGGCTCCGCAGATCAGCGCTGAGCACGCAGCAGCACTTACTTCTCTCTCCTCAGCTGCAGCAGCAGGCAGGACAACGCCTCGGGGTGCTCTGCAAGGGAAGCACACACATCCTCAGCACCACACACCCTCAGCACCACGGCACGGGGCCACGGTGACCCAGCACCGCGCCTCGCCCGCCCCGGGGGGCGGCTCACCTTTGTACTTGAGGTGCTGCAGGATGGGGATGATGGTCTCCAGGGGGATGCTGTGTGCCAGGAAGAGCTGCCAGGTGCAGTACTGCTCGAAGGTCTCCCAGTCCAGGCTTTGAACTAGGGGCAAGCGCAGGGAGGTGAAGGGGAGCTGCAGGGTGC